TTAGACTCTTGGCACTCTTAGGTGAGCAGACTTAGTCAGCCTGTGTTGCCCTAACAGGAGTGAAAGTGTGGATGAAACAGATCTGGTGCTTGTCAAAGTGGTTTGATCGGGGCTGAGTAAACAAAAGTTGGGAGTTGAGCAGAGAGGACATAGGCCCAAATGTATGTGCATGTGGGGTTCAATACAGATGCATTGCTACATAAAGCTTCAGTGAGATAACAATGATCACATACACACAGCATTATCAATGGGGTGGCAATGTCTGCACATTCCACAAGGACCACCTAGGGGAGACCAAATTACCCAAGTACACCATGGTTGACATGTGTTTGGGTGACTTCACCTGCATAGAAGTCAGCAACCTCACCATCAACATAAACACTCATGAATATACATACCAACAGAAAGCCAAGGAACTTCACTCTAGGAGGGGAGAGACTCAAGCAGAGAACCAAGCAAACCTCTTCTTAACTCAACATTGTATGGCGCAATTCCTCAGACAAGGGTGGACACAATGTCCACACAGTATCCAGGGTAGACCTGGTACCCACACAGTGACCATGCGGACCTCATGCCCACAGTGACCAATGTGTACACAGTGTCCTCAGTGACTGTGGGGACCAGACATCCACAGAGACCATCATGGACCCAGAGTCCACATAGTAGCTAGCATGAAGGTGATCTCCACAGCAAGCGATGGAGTCATATTCTGTTCAGCAAGGTTAGGAATATGCCTTTGAAGGATCAGGTTCATGGACATGCCTATGCCCACCAATAGAGACACACATACTGCCTCTTATCAACAGAGTTTGAATAATATGTTGATGCACAGGGGGGGGGGGTAGTCATTTCCAGTGATATTGCCTTCGAAGCTGAGACTGATCAGACAGAGAGAGGTACAAAAGATAATCAAGATAATCACTTGTTATAGAGGGCAAGACCTGAGTGTCACTTCAAAATGCAACTGGTTTTCAGTGCTTGTAAGGGGTTGGTTGGGCTTGGTGATATATCTATGTATGATGACGGAAGCAATGCAATCAATGGGTTGATGGCAGCAAACCAAGGGAATGGGTGTTGAATGATAAAAATTGGGGAGTTTCATTGCATGAGCTCTAAATGACATATGAGATAATAATCTGGATTCAGAATAAATTGGTTGTTATGTAGACAGTATCTCAATTCTGTAATCAGCAGGCACCTGTATAGGGCATGCAACAGCTATGTGGGTTCGAGAGCACCTGACTTCACTATGGCTACTTCCGCTTCTACACAGCCACTATAGCGTTAGGTAGCCGGCTGGCATTTAACGGATGTAGTTACATTCTTTGATTGATTGTCTGTTTTTTTATTCCCCACTACCTGATTCTGATCCATTCGTTGGCTGTAATCTCATCACGAAGCCTAAACACAACCTTGCAGCGTCCTTGTGACATGAAGATCTTGTAGTCTAAATTATGGGCGTTCGAACCCTTCGATGTCAATCTTCCTTCATTGTCGGACCCTTGGTATTCCATCAAACATCTGATATACCAACATCCTACCATACCGCACAGATACCAAATTGCTTCAATCGATCCATTCCAACTAGGTAGGATGCGTTACTTTCTCCTGCTCCTCCCACTCGTACAAGCCCTCCAATGGCCCCTTTCACTACAATCCCTCTTCACCACCCCTCTTCGCGTAGCCGTCATCGGGGCAGGTGCGGCAGGGTCAAGCGCCGCCTTTTTCCTAAGTCGGGGTGCTAAACGACTGGGTCGCGAAGTCGTGATTGACGTGTATGAGAAAGAAAACCATGTTGGCGGTCGTACGTCGTATTTCACTTCTCTTGCGGCCTTGCTGAACCACTACCAGGAAGCACCACCGTATACCCTTTCGACGACCACACGCTTGAGCCCATTGAGCTCGGTGCGAGCATTTTCGTCGATGCGAACAAGAACATGGTGCGCGCCTTGAGTGAATGGAGCCTCAGCACGGTACCATTCGAAAATGCCGAGGCGATTGGTATCTGGGATGGCGAGGGGTTTGCCGTCGTGGTCCGTTTTCTATTTTCCTGCCTTTCTTGAGCTTCAGCTGACCTCATACAGATGAAAGGTAACAAACCGACTTGGTGGGACCAGGCAAAGCTCCTCTGGAGATATGGGCTAGTGGCGCCCATGCGCACGCAGCGACTGGTGAAACGGCTCATCTCCTCGTTCCTCGCGCTGTACACTGGCTCGAACCCCCCATTCGACACGGTGACTCATCTATCGAAGGTGATGGGCTTCCCGGAGTTCACAGAGCAAAATGCCAAGTCATATTTTTCTCAAGTAGGGATCAGAGGACTGTTCCCAGAAGAAGTGATCGACAGTGCCGCTAGGGTGAACTACGCCCAGAGCCTGGACGAGATCCACGCGCTCGGTGCGCTAGTAAGTATGGCTGCGAGCGGAGCGCATAGCGTGCAAGGTGGGAACTGGCAGGTGTTTTCCCATATGCTGAGAGAGAGCGGGGCGAAGATGAAGCTGAACACTACTGTGAGTTGGCGGGTAATGCTGGTTCGGAGGATGTTGATGAGCTACCCAGGTGAGCGACATTGTCCAAAAAGCCGAGGACTGGCAGGTAGTCACCTCAGGCGGGAAGGGAACGTACGACTACGTTCTCCTCGCTGCTCCCGCCCACCTCTCTCCGTACACTCTTCCGTCCAACCTCACGTCGTCCATCCCTGAACAACCATATGTCCACCTGCACGTAACCCTCCTCGTGACACGCACTCCTCAAGCTCGTCCCGAGTTTTTCGGCCTGCAGGAAGGGGCAACGCTGCCGGACATGATACTTACTACATCGTCCAAGGGCAAGGCGCGGGTGAGCGCGTTCAACAGCATTTCCTACCACGGTACGACACGCGGAGGGTACATATGCAAGATCTTCTCCATGTCTGCTATCTCCGAGGATTGGCTTGCAGATGCCTTCGGGGCAGATAACATCCTCTGGATTCATAGGAAGACGTGGGACGCATATCCGTACCTCGCCCCCTCGCTGGAGGATACATACGCACCTATCGTGCTCGCCCCGGGAGTGTACTATGTGAGCGCATGGGAGCCTTGGATCAGCACGATGGAGACGCAGAGTTTGGCCGGGAGGAACATCGCCGAGCTGGTGATGGAGCGCGAGTGGGATGCAGAGGTAGGAAAAACGTGTAACGAGAGTTTGATGAGAGGCTGGGATTGTTAAACGTACGCGCAGGTGGGCTTAGTGTATCTATTCAATACGAGGTTTGAGAGTACTGTACAGGGTCGGCGAGGGGTACAAACGCGACTGAATGTATTTGCCTTTTATGGTAAGGGACACCGAGCTTTACCGAGACTCGTTCATGGCACACATCCCTTGTAACGTATTCGCTGAGATCACAAGCTCAACCTATTTGAATCAATGAATGATACGCCGAGCTTTTACAGAGAGGGCCCACTCACATGGAGTACAATGTGGCTTTCAAAGCGTGGGATTGAGAACGACGCTTCCATGCACGGATACATGAATCAGGTACGGTCTGAATCGGAACCGATATGAAACGAACAGGTGCACATACATCCTCTTTGGACCGCTGCCATGTTACAGAGCCTATTGGGACCTGGGTGTGATTCCATATCTCCCTGCGGAATGCAACAGGTCCTCGGCGATGCGGCCGCTAACCGGTCGCCAGTGGTGGTACATTTCGACATGGAATTGAACCGGATGCAAGAGGAGGAGAGGGCTAGTCAAGGCGGAGGGAAGAGCCTGCGAGGAATGTGGAGAAAGAATGCAGCAACGGCTCTGTTGACCACAAAAGATGCTGTCGTAAGTTCGCCTCCATTGTACATTCAGACAGCCTCATCATCAAGTCACACGTATTTTCATGCTCCCATCAATTTTCTGCTTGAACAATCAGTTGCAGCCATTGTAGCAACCTAAGGTTCGTGTGCAGAGAGGTTTTATGACTGTGCTGCTCGGCTCTTCTAAGATCGCTAGGAGGCCGCGGTAATACGGAGTTGTAACGACTGGAAACAGTGAATATGAATTGGTTGCAAGTTTTGTGGAAGTGAGTGGCTCCATTCGTCAATGCGTATCCGGGACGAGGACAAAATATAGCCCGGAGTCGGCGAGCTTGGAACCGTTTCAGGTGGCTTGTCCAACCGTCTTTGCTGCTGGTGGTCCTCTGAGAGAACGTAGGTCAGGAGTCGAACGCTTGAGCAGCTTGATCAAGATGTTCACCGGGAACACAAATTTCGATTTGCTGGACAGAAGTCAGATGCGCTTCAGCTGAATCGATGAACCTCGCAAGACTGACACCGATGATGTTGGGTACTCCATCGCACTCAATGACTATGTCTTCACAACCACACCATACGATCTGGGCGTATTCCAAAATGAAAGACAGAGGATCATAGAAGGCAGCGATATCGATGGTTCCATTGTGTGAAGGGCGAGGGGACTTTTCATTCCGTCTCAGCAACAAGTTCGTTCCTAATGTCCAGGAAGGAGGAAAACGGCGATGGATGTTTCGCAAACGCTGTCCAAATCTTCGAAGATGGTGGTGAAAGGAACTCGATGTATATTCCTGTTGTCCCATAAGAACGTTGTCCAAACCAGTGGATGGCCAATAGTCAACCGGGCGGTGTTCAATCGAGATCGAGGTATCAGGTCAGGGACAATTGGGTGTGCTCTCTGTGATTGCTGGGTTCGCCGGCCTGTACCTCGTAGCATCACCGACAGCTAGATCACACTCCAACCGTCAGTTAGCGGGGGGCGGGTCAAGGTTAGCCCCCGCACATCTGACTCCTCAAATCCACCCGGCGCCCTCCACACTTGCCGGCATCTCGGTCAGCGGATATAGCTCAATCAATGTGAGGTTCGTGCCTCAATTGTTCCATTCAAGCTTCTGTAGCACACAATACAACACTTGTACCAATACACAATATCGCACTGTAGCCTGGTTCACGTCAATTAGCTCCTGGGTCCGCTCAGCACTCTCACCTGCTTCTTGGTGGCCGGGCCCCCTTCCTTGGGTCAAACCAGCGTATCCAGCATTTCTCTTCGACGTAGACGTCGAGGCCGCTCCGTGGTCCCCAGTTCTTGTCCCCTCGACCACCTCAACCTCCGGAGAGTCCCCTCGTTCTTCCGTCGGAACCCTCTTCTTTATCGCAGGCGAGTTCTTGAAGGTTACGCGTTTGGAGCTGCTTTCCCCGCCGGAGGGCCTTGGTTGCGTTGAGGGGGGCATGTTGAAGACTTCGTGCCTCCCCGATTTTGCAGCGCCTGCTTTGGCTCTCTTCTTTTCAGCCTTCCTGCTCTCAGCCGCCAAGAAGTCCATCTCAGCAGCTTTCTCCTCCGCGGCCCTCCAGCATGTCCAGATACGTCTCTGCATTCAAGGCATTCAGAGCTCAAGTATGCAAACGAAGCAGAGGAACACGCACCCCAATGATGACAATCTATGCCTCGCTTCCCTTTACCGTAACACACTATATGCAATCCGATCAGCGTCAACGAGTGCAGTTTGTATCGCTATGCGCACCTAATATCAACTCTGCTGCCTTGGTCTTAATCGTCTTGCACACCCGGAAATGCTTGCACACCTCCGTGTGGGTCTCCCCCTCGTCATCCGGGTCGTGCAGATATTCGCCCTGGAGCTCGTAGACTGTGTTGCATTTGTCTTCTTCTTCCTCCTCACTCTCACTCTCGTCCTCCTCTCCTGATCCACTTTCATTTCCATCGTCCCACACCTCTTCCTCCGACCTATTCTCTCCTTCCGAGTCGCTGCTGTCGTCACTCGATTCATACCTCTCGCGTCTCCTTCGGGGCGCCGACCGGGAGTCCCGCGTCTGTGCGCGCTTCCGGGTCTGCTCGGTCTTCTTGGCATGCGTGCCTGCGGGTCCGACGGGTAGCCTTGCTGCTGGAGCCGTGCTTCCGCCCCATCTTGAACTTTCTGAGGGTGGTCGAGATGCCCACGCGTAGCCAAGAGCAAGCAGGTACCGAGCAGGAGGAGACGACAGATTACGGCGGACCAAGGGGAACAGCCTCGTGTATGTGTGAGTGATTGAGGAACCAAGACGAGGGTGGTTCGGGTCAGATCTTCGTGTATGCGTCGGTCAGATGGGAGCAAGAAGAGACGAGGGTGGTTCGGGTGAAAGGGGGGTTTGGGTTATGTATGCGCGGTATCCACCTTTGCCAGAAGAAACCCCGTCCTCATCGTCTCTTCCCTCTCCATCACTGGCGCTCACCCCGCCCTTCCACACCCGTCTTGTGGAGAACGACGTCGACGTCAAGCTCATATGCAATACGCATATAGCTGACGCTATGAAGACCCGGGATGAAGTCGGGTGAGCATGATTCCACTCGCCCTGCCACACAACTGCTCACACCGCCGCCATCCATCCACAGCGGCGCGCACGAGGGGCTCCCTGGTGTGCCGTTTAGGTTCCCCGTACCTCGGGGCCCCCCGAGGGTGACCGGGGCAGACACGGCCGCCTCCCCTCCTTTGTCCCGTCTACCCCGGCCGTCGTCCTCTTCGTCCTACAGCGCCCCCCCCATCGCCCCACATCCTCGACGTCTCAAGGGCCCGTCCCCAACCCATGGGACTTCGTTGTCTCCCGCTTTGCGTTAACGTCGACGACCTCTCTCCTAATTACAAACGTGTTCATTGCCCTCAGTGAGCTTCACCCTGCTTTCCAGTTCCCCTCGACTCATACCTTCCACCCAGCCGTCACCATCAACAAGCTCATTCCCGTTGTCCAATGGGGTGATCTCCTATGGCGGCATGTCGTAACTGCCCGCCTCGCTTCGGCCCTCGCCTCACCGGACAGCGAGATGGTACCGTCTATGCTGCACGTCGCCCTCCTGTCGACCGAGAATCCACTGGAGACGCAGAAGACTTTCCAGCATGAAGCCACCGTGCCCGAAGGGATTAACCTCTTGGGTCCATCTATACCGGCACCGCGGAACAGGTCCGACAGCAGATCTACCGGAACTGCGTCGAGCCCGATCACCCTGCAGTCCGTGTCCGGCGCAGTCGTTTCATTCCTCCACTCTCTCATCTCCCGCCCTGTCCGTTCCGATGGGCGGCCCATTCACGTCGAAGCGTCTGGCACCTCACTTCCGCCCCGCAATGCCGGCAGAGTTGGTCCCTTCCTTGCACGGGTCAAGGCCTTCGTCCGCCAACGTCTCTGGCGCGAGCTGCAAGATCACCAGCTCGACACCCCTCCCTGGCTATCGGAACTACGGAACTGAATCGTCACCCGGGTTAGGAATGACCCACATTGGTGGCCTCAGTGTCTAAGGAAGGGCAAAATCCCTAACCCTTACACCCACACCGACATGGAGAAATACACGAAGTTCATGATCTACAACTGTGCAGAATGGGCCCTGGATTCCCTGTATGTCGTTATCATGCACCGTGGTCTCCTTCTCAGACATCATCTAACTTAGGCTCAACGGGCTATATTCAAAACCACCGTCCTACCTTGAGCGTAATTCAACATTCGTGCTGATTACCATGTCAGTGGACAAGGTCACAAGACTCGTGCGGCAGTCTGGTATAGAGCGCATGGACCCTTCCGATCCAGAGCTATCCAGCCGCACCGAGCGCCTCAAGAAGTCGTGTTGCTCGGCATGCCAACCCACCTGCCTTATGTGCTGGATCGTGTTGTCGTTCATTCGGCTCAGGTACTGGAAGGTGAGCCAGGGGCACAACTTTGTCCAGCTGGATCGATGGGGCAACTGGTGCGACATACCGCTCTTGCCAATCGACGCGCTCCGGGACGAAATGAACCGCCACACGGAATGGAGGTCGATCCTGGAACAGCAGCAGGCTCAGTCGGTGCCATCGGACCTGGCTGCTGCGCGCCCAGTGCCACCAGCAGTCGCTGGCCCCTCTGGTCCGCCGTCCGCTGGCCCCTCTACGCGTGCAGCCCCGCCAGTCGCCGGCCCCTCCCGTCCGGCACCCGCCGGCCCCTCCACCCGCATACCCCGTAGCAGTTGATCCCCCCCCCCCCTCTCCCCCGAGGTATGGGTGATGGAGATGAATGGTGATCGTGTAGGGCAGGCTTCATGATCATCCCCCGGTGTCCAGCATACAGAGCATATAGATAAATGGTGTTGTCCATACTTACAAATGCAATGAGTTAGCCCAGTAGTCCCAGACGCTCTAGCGCTACCCGTGCATCGAAAGACAATTCGTCCTCGCGCCGCATGGCGCCACAGGACGCCTCTTCGTCATCCCAACGCAACGCTGCCAAAGCTGCGCTACTATCTCTCTGCCACTCCCGCTCCTCTTCAAGCCTATCATAATCTACCGCACAGCACGAACATTGGACATCCTCCCACGGGAGGCTCCTTTCCGTTCCCACTCTAGCGATCTTCCTGCGTGCCCACGGCACCTGTGAGAAAGCGCATGTGTACATCTCCACCTCGTCATCCACCCACATGGATATTCTCAGAACCCCCCGCCGTTCGATGCCAACCAACGTTTCCGAAGCTGACGCGGGGCCGATCAGCCAAACCCTCCCTTCGATATGAAGTCCCAGACAGAGGATTGCCTCTAAGGAGTAGTTGGAAGCACCCCACCACCCCTGTAGCTGTCTCGTTCTGCTGCCCATCACGCGCCAACCGTCGGACAACTTGGCACCCCCCCTACCACCCAGACCGGGGCCGGGGAGCACTGTTAAACCGCTACCCGCAGCGCGTTCGGCTCTCCAGGAAAGCTGTGAGCACATCAGTCTGGGTCAATTGCACTAGAGCCCTTGCATCACACTTACCAGGTCCTGCTGCAGTACAACGCGCAGTGGTCCCGGTTCACCCGTAGAAACCCGGGCTCGCTGCAGATCCAGAGAGGGCCAATTGGAATCTGCCTTGTCAACCATTGCCGCGGAGACTATGAACAACCGGCGGCTGCCCCTTGTACCGAGAAGAGCCGTCGCGTTGATGTTGTCGAGCGCAAACACCCAGCCATGTTCGAGAACACTGCTATGCCATATCGCACCGCTGTCGAAGCCATCCAAGCCCACCGTCGCACCGAGATGGCGGTTCGGACCGAAAGGAAGCAGAGCGCGAACCAGTGTATGTTGGCGCACGAAGCGTGAATCTTGCGTGATGACGTCGGCGTGCTCGGTGAATAGCGCATCCATCCCCGATCTTCCAACCACCAAACCACCAACGCGGACTCCTTCGGGCACGTCAAAGACGCACTGCAGCCGGCACCTTGCTATCACTTGGCCGTCTTCCCGCCATATACAGACTCGATGGTTCTGGATCTGTCTGGAGGACCTGGCCAGGATGCCCACACAAGCATGTCCACTGGCGTCCTCCTCCCCGAGAAAGGCAGCGGGCCGGTAGTTATCCCACATTGTAACATCCCACATGGCGTGCTCCAGCGGTATGCGGGCGAGGGGTTCCAACTGGGCGACCCGACGGCCCCTTGGCGGCACAGGTGGCACTTCGTAGACACATACACTTCGGTGGGTGACGATCACCACCCATTCTCCCGCAAAGATCGCCTTTTTTGAAAATTCCTGCGGAACAGTTGTGTACTTGTGTTGGCCTGCCAAAACGGGTATCGTCACTCACCATCGCGGCTTGTGCAAGCGACACCCGCTCGCCCGACCTCACATACCGGAGATGCAGATTGGAGCTGCTCTCCGAATGGGAGCAGCAAATCCAGTCCCGATTGAAGGCCAGGATCCCCGAGCTCCTCCGGATGTCCTTGGCGTCTTCTATCACGCCTTTTCCGCCTTCAAGCCGCAGCCGGAAACCCAACACTGATCGTCCTCGTGAGGCCATCGATGCATGGCGGTAACGCAGCGTTGCATCTGGTGGGGCCAGCCTCTCTTCATGTTGGCCTAGATGCTCCCCCAACGTCACATCGAACTGCACAGCGAATTCGTCCACCCGCTCCGCATCCGCTTGCAGAATACCGCCGTGGAGAAAGGCCACACGATCGCAGAGGGCTTCGCCCATCGGGACTACCACCGGGAGGCTCTTCATCTTCTCTCCGCGGTAGGTGAACAATTTAATCTCCATGGCATCTGTCACCGCCACGAGCACCCCGTCTTCCATGCCCGACCAAATCCACCGTGCCCCGCCCAGGGGTACGGCCCTATACTCCAACTGTCCCGACATACCCTCGCTGAAACAGTTGGCCTTTCTCACCCAGCTTCTTGCCAGTGACAGGAGATGTCGGGCTGCGTGGGGTCCCGACATCTCCCGCCAGTTCGTCGGGGAAGACGGGACGGGATGGCCATTAACCCGTGTCTCCTGTCGAACGCGGCTGACCAGGGTGTGGTCCACTATATCTTTGAAGGCCCGGAACACCTGGACCATGGTCATGTTCGAGTTTCCTCTTTCTGCAGCCCACCCACCTGCCTGAGCGACAAGAGGTCGCTCACTCCCAGGGGTTGCATCACACGCTCCCACAGTTCTGCGGGCATGTATGCTCTCGAAGAGGATGCCCATAAGCAGGTCGCCATCGATACCATTGTGCGCGTGCATGAGGGGCGTCGTGGTTTGCCAATAACGTCGTGGTTCGAAATTAAGTTACGTATGACTAGGCACACGGCCTGCACGTACTTAATAGAGCGGAAGCAAAGTGTGTCAGCATGGATGACGTAATTGTGACTAATCCTCTTGTATCCCAGCCATGCAATAACATCGCAGGCCATGATGTCTCTGTTTTGCAAGGTAATCCTCAGATGTTCTCGTAGGCCAAGGACTTCAAGGATTCTATGGCCAGCAGCCCATCTCTGGAAGTGCCAATAAGCTGGCTGCATCTGAGGGTGCTCCAGGGGGGTCCAGGCCAGTTGCACCCACTCATTGGTCTGAATGCCCAGCCTTTGGTGAAGCAGGCTTTCAAGCAGGTATCCAATATCTGATGCCCACAGACTGGATGGGATTTCATGTGACATGCAAGCCTGTCCAGTTTGTGGACCCTCAGTACCACTGCCAGTCGATAGCGTCTGTGACTGCCTAGGTTTGTGAAAGGGCTTACAATGCCCTTTTGCTCCCAATAGGTACACTAATCAAAGGTATTACTATCTAGTAGTAATACAACAAGGGTGTACTAAAGAGAGATAGATAAAAGGGTGGCCTACAGCCACCTGCTATGTGTAAGTCCATCAGACAAACTGATTGCCCTAGAGGCAGTGTTACCATATATGGTAAGTATGGGGATATCTATGTATCCCTTACACCCCCCCCCCCCACTTCAGAGAGGAGGAGGTTATGACTCAGAGACCTTCATTGTATCCATCATGGTTGTCAGAACTGTAATCAAGAGAGACATCCTTCTCAGAAGGGATGTCAACATGCAATGGCCCTGCAATAGCAGGGGCACAGTCATTGCTCCAGAGGAAACCTTCTGGTTTCAAACCCAAGGGAGGGAGATCTGCCTGGGGAGGTGGAACAATTGCAGATTGATACACCTGCATCCAGAGCAAGTTGTTCTGGGAATCAAAGGCCAGAAGTGCCTTCACTGCATCCTTGTCAAGGATGTGCTTGTGGAAGAAGCCACCAACATGTTGCACCTTCCTGGCCCTATGGCCAAAGTAGCTGACCCATGCAGCTAGTTTCCTTCCTTGCAGCCCACTGGCCACAAACTCACATGCAATGGCAATGATGTCCCAGGTGCACTGGCCATCAACAATGCAAAGCACACACTGGAAGCACACAGACATGCTCCAATGGGGCATGGGGAGCTCAGGG